AAATTCTAATTTGATGAGGGGCAGAATTAGAATTAAGCAAAACTTTTTTTGTAACCGCATGGTAGTTACTTCAAAGGGTGATGGTCCTCAATTTGCAGAAAGACACATCCCTTTTCTTGCACCCCATCAATAAGAAACTAAGGAAAATCTGGAAAATCTGCAGATTGGAAGATCATATTTTGTGCAATCGATCTAATGGATTCCGGTACGCTTCCGCTAATCTATGGCTTATTTTTCTCAAAATTGAATGTGATTTTTTTTAGTTCTAACAGGAAAATCTTGAGCTTGTTTAGATATGAACTCAATTTATAGAAGAGAGATCATTGATTCCTTCTTTATTCTTTTATCTCCCTCGCTCCTCTATCCTAGGTTTGAAGGTGGAAACTCTTGAGCTTGTTTATATATGAACTCAATATATAGAAGAGAGATCATTGATTTTTTCTTTATTCTTTAGTCTCTCTCCCTCTTCTATTGATGCCCACCAGTAGGCATGCGGGGCCTCTTTTATATCTATCTTGTACATGATTATTCCTTATAGTGCAATATTTCTCTCATTCTATTGTGGACTCATGCTACAAAAGTAATCCAAGTGTATCTTGATCTTTGTATTTTACTTATTTGGCTCTATAGTCCTTCTTATTTAGACATCTTTACATAGTGCGTTACTTCATTTTGACTTATTAATTTAGTAAAGATAACTTGTGAGTTCATGAGCAGAGCTCAATGAGCTAATGAGCCAAGATTGAGCTAGCACTTGACTCATCAACTCATGAGCTTTAACTCATTTAAGAATACATATAGAGTACACTTAAAATATATTAAATTTTAAAGATTTGAATACCAAACTTCTACAAATATTTAAAAAATACTTCTCTTTTTTTTATGTAATGACTTCTTATTCTTTTATCATTTTATTACAATAATAGCTTAAATTACAATAATCTTTTCTCTTCTATAATGAAAGAGTTTTATAAGCTAGCATGAACTTGTTCATTTTCTTTGAAGCTTAAATTCAATTATTTAATCACGCTAAAGTTGGGATGACTTGAGCTCTACTTAACTCGTTTATGTGGTCAACCATCACAATAAAATCTCATTACTTTTCTCGTGATTTCCTTCATGTTGAGTATCCAACATCTTGTTGAAACTGTGTGTGTGCGCGCACCCGTCCACATCTTAATAGTCACATTGATACTTATATAGATTCTCATATTTATATTGCAAGTTAGGTCTTCATGAATATTCAAGGAAGATGAGACGAGGAATATTTCATAGGCTGACATTTCATTATGTAAAGCCTCTCGGTATCACACTCAAGGGTTTATTTATTTTTCTCGACCTTCATCCTACATTCATATTTTCATCTCAATAGCACAATAGAATATCTATTTTTCAAGGCCTTTTTCATTGACACATTAATGCCACAAAGAACAAGCTCACACATTCTAAGATCCAAAAATGTAGTAATTTTATGAATCCCCATGCTACCACATTATCTTCTTTTGTTGCATTATATCCACCCTCTACTCATCAAATTTGGTCTCTCTCTCCCTGAGGACCTTATGATTCATTTCCATATATTATTAATTAAATATTGATTATTATAAATTAATTTTAAGAGATCTTTGATGTAACTTTTTTGGTCTTCTCTGACATTATAAATAGTATTATTGTAGTTATGCCTTTTATTGATAATTATTTTTTTAAATGATTTTTTTAATATTTTATTTATGGCCATGAGATTATTTTGGGAAATTTAATTTTGGGGTTTTTGTATACCAACCACCCAAAATATTAAATATAATATTTTAACCACTCTAATTTAAAAATTATTATGTAAATCAATTCTTTTGGAGAGTCGATTTCTTTAGGGAATAATCAAACTATGCCGGTCTACCTAGGAATTATTTCTGAATCAAGATACTATAAATTTAAAACCAAGCTTAAAAAAATATAATCATTTTAATAAAAAAATGTGTTAACATTGATTTTAAAGAGATCCAATGATCCATAAGGGAAGAGTATAACGAATGCTGACTCATTGCCAGGATCACAGAACTCACTTAATCGACATAGCAAAGTCATACGAATCGAGCCAACAAGGCTAAAAGCGACTGGAACATTAGGTAAATAAAATGATGGTTGAATGATCCAAGCAAAGACCATTTGGTCAGAAATGAGATAAAAGAACATCCAGACAAGCGACCACAAAAAAGTCAACTCAATAGTCTACCCTCTAGTAGAGCTGATCAAAAGAAAATTTAGTTTCACAGTTTCTCCAACCATCTCTCGGACACACCGGAGACACCTCACCAAGGATTAAGGATTGTTAGCCATACTAAATCGACCCATGCCAACCGAGCTCAGACGTCTGAATTGATCCTATCAACCTAAAACAAACTAAGCTTAACAGGTCGAGTCAAATAGTAGTAGGAGGGCAAGCCCATCAAATGTTTTTGATAGATATAATAAATATTATTTTTTATATTTATTTATATATTTTAGATGATAAAAATATTAAATCCCCCCTCCTCTCACCTTCCATCGTCTTCTTTTGTTGGCATGTCGTTATAACGTATGAGATTCAGCATGGGCTGGTCGTTGGAAAGCTTGTTATAATCATATTCGTTAGAAAATTTATTCAATATTATTTTAAAAAATTTACATACATACCCCATAATTCTCATGCATTTACATATCTACCACAAAAATTAATATTAGGGTATCTTTGGGGCAGCTACAAGTTTTCGAATAATTTGCTGATAAATTTAACCCGCAAGTCAGAAACCTGTTACGGCACGTAGATAGGGGCGATGTAAAAACGTTATTTTCAGCGCCTAAGCTGTCAAAATACAGTTTATCCAAACAGTTCTGGTGCGTTTTCAAAACTCCACTGCACCAAATAAGCTGCCCCAAACAGAACCTTAATGTACATAATATCTTAAATGCATGGACGTAATATATCAAGTCTGCTTTCATTTTTTGCTTTAGATTCTCAATTCTTATCACCATAGACCTACACAATAAGAAAAAACGAATTATATTAAATTGAATGGACTAAAATGAAAAAAAATAAAAAAAATAAACGACGAAATAGTATGAGCTGGCGACACCGATCGTACACCGGTTCTTCATTATTGAATCCAGCTAGTTCGCACTCCACAGCAAACCGCTCGCCCTTGCTTCCATTCGAATTGACCATTCTGCCCCTGCTTCCCGTTTAAATTTCACCCAGCTGCCACCATTCCTCCCGTGGGTCCCGCAAATCTTCCCACCGACAATACCCGCCGCGTTATCAGACGTCGACGGCGAACGGTCTACGGTCGCGGCGGCGGAGGAGGAGATCGTACGGCTCCCACAGGCCATCGAGCTGGCACGGCCTGCCGGCGTCGAGGCGAAGCCACGGCTTCCCTTTACCGCTCCAGTGGAGGAGGCTCACCGGTCCTGGATGCAGGTCACGGCATAGCCCCTCCACATTGTCGCCCCCGAGACCGTGCTGATTCCATCGGTGCTCCACTCCCCTCACCTCGCCGGCGAAAACAAGAAGAAAGGGAGGCAGTGATCCCAGCTCGTAGATCCTCGCCACCTTCTTCTGAACCTCCATCCACCCCTCCAGCCTCCTCGTGTATCCCCCAGCCCTCCATTTAGCCAGATCCATCACCATCACGCCGGTGTTGAAGTAACACGGCCGGCGAACGCGGCCGTCGAGTGCGTGAGGGAAATCGCGGTCCGACCAGAATCTGTCCGTAAAATACGCTGTGAAATTGGCGTGGCAGTACTCGGGGGCACCGAGCACGTAGGGACCAAGCTCAATGCCCCAGAGACGCGCGACGTCGTCGACGACGACGAGATCGGAGTCGAAGTAGATGACACGACGGACTGTTGGGGGGAGAAGATCGGCGAGATAGATTCGAGCGTAGTTGAGCGGGTTGTCTAGAGCTCGCCGGACCGACGAGGAGATCTTGCCGCGTACCAACGCGGCATCGAATCTGTATATTCGAAACGGGAGGGAAGGGAAGGTAGCGGCCACCGTGCGTCGGAGGTGGTGGAATGGCGAGATGGCGACGAAGTGGAATGTGACGTTCTCCGGGCAGGATGTGTGCTTCAGAATCGATAGAACGCCGGCGAGGGATCCGCGGAGGTAGGTTGCGTCGAGGGTCATGGCGATGTGGATAGTCGGCGCTGCCGAGGGTCGGGGCGAGTGGGATTGTCGGCGCTGCGGCGCAGCGGGGGGCGTTGCGGAAAGCTGGAGCCTCGCGAAATGCGGGGAGATCGCCGGTGGATAAGGGATTGGTGCAGCCTGTGACGGCGATGAGGACCACCGCCGCCATTAGAAGTAGAGGGGGAAGGTAATGGCGGGGCATTTGGGGGAAGAAGATGGGATGGCGGGCAAAAGGAAATTGGCGGAGAAATCTAGGGTTAGGGTTAGGTTTATGGAGTGTAGTGGCGTTTTCAGTATTTGTGTCGCCGAGTGCTGGCCAGCGGGATGAACAGCGAGCTTTTTGTGATTGGAGTGTTTTGTGATAGTAAGTAGGATGTACGTGCACGTGAATGCGGATAAGAGATTTTATGTCGCTACTCATTCGTTATTACTTTTGAGGGATTTTAGTTGCATACCAATGAAAACATTGGTATTTATATATTTTACATCCTAAAATTTAATATTAAGAAATTTAATTTTTTTTTTATAATTTTGATATCTCTCCTTGGGTGTACACTTCTAAAATTTGAGAGCACGAATCTCAAAAATATCTCACACCGATGGAAAAGTTGACGTGATATCCTGGGACTCACTTAGTCAATCGATTCCATGTCTATCGGGAGGATGAAACTATCCAGATGGATAAGAGTAGGTCATCTTCTAAAGAATTTATCTGATCAAACTCACGCGGACGAATTCGACACCCTCCACTCTAGTTAGTTTGGATGAGTGGGGCAATCTGTTCAGTTCCAGAGTAGTTGGTATCGGTCCTTAGCAAGTGGTCGCCAGCTCTAATGGCTGCCCGAACTTATGAGCGATCAGCCTCTTCGGCCAGATGCATCCTTAACTTCTCGAATTAGTTCAGTTGGACATCCAGCTTTGGCAGGGAAATTTCGAGAACTTTGCCTTATGATTTCTTGTAAGAGAAGTCATTTATGATTCATAAGACGTACTAGTTACAAAATATTTTTCATCTTATGAACTTCCCACGATCTTGTAGAATGGGCTTATTGTAAAACTTTTCCCAATCTTCAAGATCTATCCCAACTTCTCCAAGGATGGTTGGGAGTGTCAAAGTCGTGGAAAATTTGGGATTCCGACCCACTTAGGTATAGATCTAAGGCTCACAATGGAAACTCTTAGATTCACTAGGAATATGTCCAATAGGACGAAAGCTTCCTAACCCAGGGCTTCCTTTAGGAAACAACGAACAATCTAAAGACGTGGCTATGCCGACGAGCGTCGCAGGCCAACTCGCATCGTGTGGGTGACTGAACCCACAACACTTAGTAAATGTAGTCCTAGGGTCTGCTAAGAAAGAAAATGCAATGCATTCGAGGACCTTACCATTGCGAAGGTTGAAGCTGCGTTTCTTCAAGTATGAGGATGTTCTCCTACGGTAGGAGAGAAGCCCACAAGTCCTACCCGGCCGGAGAGATCACCGGAGCTCACCAAAGTTTCACCTCCATTGACGTAGGATGAAGCTCTCCTTCATAAGGAGAGACTGTGAGCTCGCCAGAGTCACGCTTCCCCAAAGCTAGGATGAAGTTTTCCTAGTCGTATTCCTTGGAAAGTTCGTCGGAGAAGGACGAGGTCGCCTGAGGAGAGAAAGAAGGGTGAAGAAGAGGAAGAATATGAAGATGATGGGCTCCCTTGGCTTTCTCTTCTTGAGGAAGATGAAAGATCTTCCTCTCTTGCCCTCTCCAAGAAGCTCTCTCTAGGGCACCTCAAAGATCTCCAAGTGGAAGAAGATGTTCTCCCTTTACCTCTGCTCATCACCCCTAAACTGAAAATGAAGTGGAGATCCCTTGTGAAATGAGGGGAGAGGAGCTTAAACCAGCTCGCCATGCAAAATCCCCAACTTGCCCTTTTGATTAAGCAAAAAATGGCTAATAGGAGGTATTCAGGGCATGTTAAATGATGCTAATCCCATGGATTTAACACCTCCCCATGCATATCTCCTCGAGCCCAAGGAGATCTCTAACATTCCAGCTCGTTTGGGGGTGCACCAACGTCAAATCGATGCCAGAAATAGGCTTTTTAGCGATATGAAAAAAATATGGTGCCTAGTCGCCCAGTCTAGTGGCACCTGCTTTCTGGAGAATAAGGAAAAACAATTTTGAGCTGTTTTGGGCGCCCAAGCACCTGGGACCGGAGCCTAGGCAACAAAAACTAGCGCCAAACTCCAGAGGTTCGGTTTTAAACGTTCGGGAAAGCATTTTGGGCCCATATGGCACTGTGACCTTTCTGGCCCCGAAACCCTGATTTTAATTGGGAGCGCCCGCCGGAGAATTTTCTCGATCAGCAAGCTATAGGAGACTCCATATGAATGAAATGTAGTCTCATTACTCCAAAATTGAGTATTTTGATTGGCCATTCACTGGGAAAATCACCGCCAACGATTGCCCTACACTATAGCACGGGTAAGGCATCTCAAACCTTAACTTTCCCGCAGCGCGCATATGAGGATTTCATGACTTTCCTTGGCCACGGGAGGCTTTAAACGTATGTGTGGTGACTTCTAAACATCATAATGGGCACTAAATGTGTTCCGTGTCTTGAATGGGCCCTTCCCCAACGGGTTCTCTCGGGTAAGGCTAAATCACCTCTAACTCTAGCTCCGTACCCCGAACAAGTGCTAGAGAGTCCTATATGGGTATCTTGCGCTACGGGATGTCATGGATGAACCGTAAACTTTCTCGAGTCATGCAGGTGGATATCCTACATTTGTGGCATCAAAATGAGATGCCAACAGTATATATATAAATAATGAAATATGTTTGTATGTACATATTGATTATGCAACGTATGATAAAACCACTGAAGTGAGTGATGAGCAAAAGCTGTGTGTGATGTATTCCAACCTTGCCAATGATATTTAATTTCTAATTTGCAAATCAATGTTATGTAACATTCTACTTTGAATCCCAATAGTTATGGGTGATTTTGGATAAAGTATGAGATGAAACTATCGAGATTTAGGGTCTGTTTAGGACAACTGTAGCTTATTGAATAATATGTTGATAAGCTAGGTGCGGTAGCTATTACAATTTTTTTATTTTTGTTGGAAAAACCAGACCACAACCAAAAATCTGTCACCGCACCTAGACAGGTTTAATCTAGATAGGTTCGGTGTGAAAACGTTGTTTTCAGCGTTTTGAAAACGCATAAGCTGCCAAAACACACTTTACCCAAACAACTCAGGTGCATTTTCAAAACGCCACCGCACCAAATAAGCTGCCCCGAACAGATCCTTAATGATGAAAACTAAAGTCATGAATGGAAGAGTTTGATTTGTTATGCTCTTAATAATTGATTAATTTTGTCACATGTTTTTTACCGCTTGTTATGCTAATATATTTTCCTTATGTTTCTAACAATAATGTGTTAGATTTTCTTTATTGTGTTTAGATATTTATTTATTATGTCTTAACCATTGTTATTATTTCTTATACGCGCGACATATCAAATTACAATATGATGGGTGGAGAATGAAGACAGGGTTAACGATTTAGCTTTCGTTTGGGGCAGCTTATTTGGTGCGGTAACGTTTTGAAAACGCACATGACCTGTTTGGGTAAACTGAGTTTTGATAGCTCATGCATTTTCAAAACGCCAAAAACAGAGTTTTCACACCGCACCTATCTAGGTGCGATGACAACTTTCTGGCAGCTGTCTGGCTTTTGAAAAAAATAATTATGATTGTCACCACACCTAGCCTATCAACAAATTATTTTTAATTAGTTTATCAACAAATTATTCAATAAGCTGCAGCTATTCAATAAGCTGCAGCTATCCCAAACAGACCCTTAATTTCAATCATGATCGGCTCAAAATCGGCTTGAAAAGAATCAACTAATAAAAAAGGGGAAAAAAAAGATATATTTGAACTATCAATTTTTTATTACAAAATAAATACTATGTAATAGAAAAAAAGAATAAACTCATATATTATATGTGATATAATGAAGCCACTAAAGGTTTAGTAAATTATTTATAATAAAATTTGGAAATTTTACTATGCTTTTCAAAGTTTAGGTGATATCGATATAAATATAGATACTTTGTTGCTTTTTTACGAAAATTTTTTTTCTTTTAAAGTACATATGAAATTATTTTTTAAAATATGCCAAAAAAAAAAAAAGGCATTTACATAAATACCACCCAATTCCTGTGCATTTACATATATAACACCAAAACTTTACCTTCACATTTTTTATATCACATTAAAGAGTATCATAATTTTAATTTTTAAAAGCGAAATACAAATTTAAACATGTTGGTTGGCATTCACGGTATAAGACTTCTCAGCCCGAGGGTTTGAATCTCCTCTGACACAATTAATTTTAAAAAAGCAATATTCAAATTACTAGATATGTATGTATGTATGTATGTATTGAAGTTTAAGTGTTAGATATGCAGATATATCAAAAAAAAATTTCACCTCATACGTAAGAGGTTTCAGTTGGTAAGAAAATGTCCAACAACCGAACCACCATCTAATCTCATGTGCAAGCACCTTTCAAATAAAAACCTAATATATTATTTATGAAGTAAACTCTAAATATTGTGTAAAAAATAGAAAAATCAATAAATAGTTTGAACTCAAAAAATTGATAAATAATAATTTTTAAGTAAAAATTTTTATTTAATATATTATTCAAATAATTTAATGATTTTAAAATTAATTTTAAAGATTTCTTGGCAGAGAAGAAAATAGAAATTCTAACCCTAAGCGCCTTCTCTCTTCGGGCGCTTCTATAAAACCCTTTTATACTCCATTGCTTAACCATTCTTTTAGCGACTGCGGAAGGCGGCGGAAGCAATAGACGATGGTGTCGCTCAAGCTTCAGAAGCGGCTCGCCGCCAGCGTTCTTAGCTGCGGAAAGGGCAAGGTCTGGCTTGACCCTAATGAGGTCAGCGAGATATCCATGGCCAACTCGCGTAAGCTCTTCCCCTTTATTTTCTGCCCTTTTTTTCGGATCCCTGTGTTATACAGACCGGACTACTTATATTCTATCAATCTCTATCAATTGTTCCGAGTCTTAAGATAACGGTTAGGGTTTTCCCTTCCTGAATCCTTATCTTCGTTGCATATTTCTAATCTGAAATTTGGCGCGATTCAAAGATTCTATTGAGAGAACTGATGCGTTTTCGTTTTATGTTGTTGGCATAACTGTTAGTCTGCTTAGAGATCCGGAGTATGTTTTCAATTAGTGCTTCTTTTACCGGGGTAATAACTGAGAAATGTGTTTTTAACTGATGCCCTAATTTGTGTTTCAGTTTTTGCTTCGTATGAAGTTTAACATTTATCTTGAACTATTTTGTTTTCCTTTCTCGGAAGCCTTAAACGATGTGTTTATGTACATGTAAAATGCTTTTGATTTGTTAAATTACAGGGCAAAACATTAGAAAGTTGGTAAAGGATGGTTTTATTATAAAGAAACCTATGAAGATTCACTCTAGATCCCGTGCCAGGCGCATGGCAGAAGCGAAGAGAAAGGGCCGTCACTCGGGATATGGTATGGGTTTTAATCTTTATTGCTGGGCATGAGAGCATGCGAGGCATGAAGGTGCTGATTTTTTAATTTATTAAAAAAAAAAAACTCTAATTTTTGCAGGTAAGCGTAAGGGTACTCGGGAGGCTAGGCTTCCTACCAAGGTTCTGTGGATGAGGAGGATGAGGGTCTTGAGGCGTTTGCTCAGGAAGTATCGGGATGCTAAGAAAATTGACAAACACATGTACCATGATATGTATATGAAGGTGAAAGGTAATGTTTTTAAGAACAAGAGGGTGCTGATGGAGAGTATTCACAAGTCTAAGGCTGAAAAGGCAAGAGAGAAGACACTTTCTGACCAGTTTGAAGCGAAGAGGGCGAAGAGCAAGGCGAGCAGGGAGAGGAAGATTGCTAGGAGGGAAGAACGGCTGGCTCAGGTAACCTATTGTCCTATTGCAATTATGCATCGTTCAAGTTTTGATATTTATGGTTTGGGGTATTTACAGGCATTCCACCCAGTTTTTATGTATTTATATATCTTACACCTAAAGTTCACTTTTTACGCCATACAACCAATTCTTTTACATAAAAAGTACCACCATTTTAACTCCTGAAAAGTGAAATGCACATTTTCAATGCATAGGTAAGGTGATATGTATGTAAAAATTGAACTTTAGATGTTAAATATGTAAATGTATGGGAATTAAGTGGTATCTATGTAAATCTTCTTCATGATTTTTGATTGTTTTTATCCTCAACATTATTGTTTTCACAATTGGTTCTTGGCTTCTATTTTTCAATTGAAGCTTTTTATTTAACATGCAAGTAGTCTACTTATATATATGTATATGCTTGTTTGTGAATGAAACTGTTCTTTTTTACCTTGGCCTACAGTAAGGATGAGTGCCCATTTCATTCACATATTTATACGGTATTCTTATCTATCATACTATCAAATTTAAAAGCATGGATCTGTAATCATGCAACAGCCAAACTTCATCTTTGTAATTTATTCATGATCAAGTGTGCCTGCTATTCTACTTGTATATATATGCTTGTTTGTGAATGAAACTGTTCTCTTGTTCTTTGGTCTAACGTAAGATGAGTGCCCATTTTATCCACATATTTCAACAATATTCTAATATGTTTTTTTATCAAATTTAAAAGCATTGGTCTGATAAACAACCAAACTTCATCTTTGTAATTTCTTTATAATTAAGTGTGCTTTCAATGATAATACATTCAATTGAAGGTTCACATATTGAACTCATTAGTAAGTTTTTGTTGGGATGCAGTATGCCATTTGAAAGTAGCACGGACAGTAAGATTTTCTTATTTCATATTATTTCATCGGAGTTAGTTTTTTAAGTTAGTGGTATGGGAATTATCAACTTCTTTGTTTCTGTTACCCCATTTATTTTAGCTGTCAAGTTTGTTTTGAATAAAATTATTGTTTGCTAATAACTCTGGATTTTCCCCCACTTCATGTAGTGTTTATCTATTAGCTATATTAATTTCATACTTCAAGCTAGTCATCAAATCTTATTTCTTTTCTTTCTAACTTGTTTTTATAAGTTCTTATAAGTTTTTTTCATATGTTATAACACCCAACAGCAATCCTTAGATTCTTATTTGTAGCAATCCAATCATGTACCATTTTAGCATAAAAACCATAATTGATGCAACAAGTTTTTGAAAGAGTACTATTCTTTTGGGTTTCTTCTAATCTAAAAAAGGGCCTTCCTCATGATTGAATATATTTCTCTGAACATGACTTCTAATCTAATTTCTGGTGTATGGTTTTTCTTCATTTTGCTACTTTAAAGAATTATTTTTTGAAACATGGTTGCTATTCCTATAAAGGTCTAATTTGCAATCACAAATTGGTTCTCGGTATCTCTTTGAATGCAATTAAACTTGAAAATTAATTATTTTCCAATATATTTTACTTTAATAACTATTACTCTTTTCTTAAGGATATTTTAAGAAATATAACTATTTCCTTTATTCAACATAAGTTTTTCGTTATTGTGCTATGACGCTGCATAACTAATTTGTAGACAGTGGAAGCTACAAGGAATTAAATGTTGAGCTAGAAAGGCGATGCTGATAACCAAATTTAGTATGACAAATCAGAATGTTAGGAATATGATATGATTTGGAACCGAAAACAACAGCCAAACAGTGAATAAACTGTAATAGAGTTGATTTTACTAATACCAACGAAAGCAAACAAGATACAACATTAATTTACTGTTTGAGAGGCAATTCGTCTCTCTACAAATCATAGACATCGCTAGGAGCATTACAAGAAAAGAGAAACTGTAGCCCAACCAAAACATAATCCAAACCCTAAAAGCTTTTCAAATTTTCCTTCCGAAACTCTCTTCCCAAAAATTCTTCAAACTTTCCCGTCAAAACTCTCCCTAACTTCTCTTGCTTGCATATGTGATTAAATCCTTAGTGGGCCCCACCTGGGGGTTGGAATCATCCGCGGTTGCACTAGGGTTTTTCACTCTCTCCTGCTAAACTGGTCGGCCACTAGAAGGGCTGGGGTGGGACAATTGGTTGGGTCTAGACCGATCCTATCTTGACCGGGTTTACTAACATGTGCAAAAAAAGATTTATTATGATAATGATTTTTTGTGTTAAAACAATTAATATAATAGTATAAAATGTGAATAAATGATATACATATAGTTTTTTTTAATTTTTATTAATTTTGAGAAGGCATACAAGTAATCTTGAAAATTGGTGGCGTGCTTTAAGATAAAAATATGTATGAAAGGTATATTAATGTTATTAAAGATATGCATTATATAACTTTGACTCGCATTATATGCGTTGTATAACTTTGACTTTTATTAGAAGAAGTTGGAGAATTGCCCAAGAGTTACATTAAGGATCAACATCTATTGATATGCTTAGAAAGGAGATGCATTTTTGTGCTTTTTTTTGTTGATATGGTTTTTATTGGCGGGACTTACACTTAACTAAGAAAAAAATAAAATAATAAAAAATATTTAGAAGACAGGTCAAAATTATTGGAACAAGAATTTAGTATAAAATTTGTAATTGTATTGTTTATGATGCTAAAATTATCATTTGATATTATTAGAAGTTATAAGTGTTATCTTGTGTGATAGGTTTAAGTATTTTTTTATTTATCATATAGAAAGATTAAGATATTAATGAGGATGCAATTTCTAAGTATATGACTGAATGGTTAAAATAGAGAAGCACGTCAAGGGTTGTGTGATAAGAGGCTTTCATTGTGGTTTAAGGGTGCATTTAATAGAACTACAATTAGGCTTGTGAGGTTGTTTGGATCCAAATATTGGTTTGTAAAAAAAAGTCATTGATATCTAAATTTTATAAAAATAATAGTATTTAGATGAATGTGTGACAAAAATAGAAAGGATAAATTAAGAAATGATCAGTTTAAGAGGAAAGGTTGGAATGATGTTTTATTGAAGATAATTTTTTTGACAATAGATGCATGTAGTTTGATCATATACAACGAAGGATAGAAAATGCCATTAAATGACTTGGTAAAATTAGTGCCATAAGATTATGTTGAGAAGGTTGAAGACCTAAAATTATTTGTATAAAATTTATAATAACTGACTTGTGAAAAGTACATTAACATCTCAACCAACACTCAATCAGACTGAATGAATAATGCGGATCGGGAAAGGGATAATGATGATATATGGTTATATTTTAATTACTCTTTTCATCAAACCTTCTCTCTTTATGAACTATGTTTATCTATCGATAAAAGTTTTTTCTCTGCCCCTAATGTAATTCAGCTTGGTTGTTTCCACTGTTTATCCAAGGTGCGCCTGAAAAGCCACCCACCATTGTTTTATGCTCAGTCATTTTTTATAACATGTGTATTCTATCTTAACTCAATTTATAGCATAGAGCTGTTCAATATTTATTTCTTAGATGCTGTTATTGCTTCTCATCTCACAAGTTTTCTTTAAAAATGTTGAAGAATCAGTTTGAGCAATTCATTTGAATGTTCAAGTTATCAGTGACAGGTTTTGAATCAAACTTTGAGCTATTTGGAGGCAATGCGATTGGGTTAGAAAATCTGATGGCTAAATTGATTGTCTTATGCATATATATGATATACTCTTGTTCATGTGTAATTGATAGATAGATGGACTGATTATTATAGATATTAATATAGGATGATAATTATAATTAGGGGTTAGCCCCTAAAAGTCTTGACCCCATTTCTAATTAAGCTCCAATTCAAACAAACATAATCTAGCTCTAAAGAGGAAATAGCTTGAGTTATTGAGGAGCTTTGTAGGGGGAACTCGAAAGAAATATAATAATAAATGACAATGCATGAATTATAATCTTTTTAAACAGTCACGTGTAATACACTTGGAAATTTTTTGATATAGGATGATAATTATAATTAGGGGTTAGCCCCTAAAAGTCGTGACCCCATATCTAATTAAGCCCCAATTCAAACAAACATAATCTACCTCTAAAGAGGAAATAGCTTGAGTTATTGAGGAGCTTTGTAGGGGGAACTCGAAAGAAATAAGAGGAAATAGCTTGAGTTATTGAGGAGCTTTGTAGGGGGAACTCGAAAGAAATAAGAGGAAATAGCTTGAGTTATTGAGGAGCTTTGTAGGGGGAACTTGAAAGAAATATAATAATAAATGACAATGCATGAATTATAATCTTTTTTAAAAGTCACATGTAATACACTTGAAATTTTTTTATTTTCAATATCCAAATAAATCTCATAAAACATTCAAGCATTTATACATTTGAATATGCCTTGAGATATGTGCCAATATATCATCACATTTTTATAGATGCCTTAGAAGTTGACGAATATCAAGTTATAGGCCTCCGTCATTTTAATGCATCAATGTCTTGCCAATGACATCATTATATGCAAAATGCATTGATACCCATTATACTTTAATTTTAGTACATATAATATCTCAACTTGATGGATAATGTAAATAAGCTGAGGACCCAGTTTTGGCTTTATTAACTTTTAATTGCTCATTACTCTCAAGGACTTGGGCAATTATTTTAATAGGAAATCTTATCCCATCAATAACTTGCTTGGCCTATAAGGTTAGGTTATAAGACCCATTGTGAGACCGGCTTACATTTTAGTCGCAAGTTCCGGGATGTTTTTAAGCTCTAATATCTGAGTTGTAAATCCTAACTTTCCTAAGTACATTTGTTCTAAAAGTCAAGACAGTAAAACCTAATTAATGCTATGTGAAACTTACAAATAGAGTCCCAAGTCGCATATTTCAAATCAATTTACAAGAATCTAAAACTAGATTATTGGAATTTTCTCGTTCTCATGCTCTTAATTGTTTGTAAAATTTTCAGTTGATGCAAGATTAGACCCAATTAATTGAGACAAGGCATACTTCAAAGTCCATCAAATTAGTTTAATTAATTGAGCTTCCTTATCTGTATTGATGTGGCTTTGTACATCCTTTACGTTGTGAGTCCCACTTATAGGTTTTCTTTTAATAAGATGTAACCCCTATTCTAATCCATTCAAGTTAGTTTTAGGCAAACAATTTAGGCTTACATTGTTGTCGATTACCTAACACAACCCTCCACTTTTAGTGTCCAGGGCTTGGGATCTGGCAATGACAGTGTTAAAAAATGATTTTAATTTTGTAGAATTAAATGAAAATATGACACTCAATAGGACACAATGGAGAGAAAGGATTCATCTAGCCATTTAGTGGGATAAAAGTTTGTGTTGTACATTTGATTTCTGCTTCCCAAGGATGTTACCCCCTATATTAAACTATCAAACTCTCGTGTTAACAAACCTATAAACTCGGCATATCTTTGAGCTCTTGTGGGTTATGTTTAGCACCTTTGAACCTTTGCCGACCATGTTGTGTATTGTATTTGAATCATCAATGAAAAGTGGTATGTATAGCCTAAAGCACATCTTTTACAAATTTATATATCATCATTTTCTCGTTTAATTAGGCTTCTTGAATGAGAATTTCATCGGGTTTTACCTCCATTTCTCCAATTATTCTTCATTCATCGCTAAATCTATATCTAATATTGAGGTTAAACAATTTCTTTAATCGAAAGTACTCTTGAGTGAATGGATAATTATGGGTGTTTGCGCTTATATAAAGCATCAATTTTAGATTTAAATTTACTTTGATTCATAGCTAGGAAAAAAAAAAGAAGGATTTATGTTCTTGAATATTTCCCTCTTGAGTTGTCTTACTTTTGGAGCAGACTTGAAGGGATTGATGTGATCTTCTTAAGCATAACAGCGCTCATCATTTATTATCATTCTTCCTTTGGATTCTACACTTCTCATCATTGTATTTTAAAGATTTACATACCTACCACTCAATTCCTATGCATGTACTTACCGAACACCTAAACATCATTTTTTATGTACATAATACCTTATCGATGCATGAAAAGGTGTATTTCACTTTCTAAATGTTAAAACAGTGGTATGTTTGATGTGGTATGAAAGTAGCAAAATATAAATGCTAGATATGTAAATACATAATAATTATGTGGTATGTATGTAAATGTATGTAAATTATCCCTTAAAAAATGCTGTTTGCCATAATCCTATTGTTTTTTCTTCTTCCGCAGGGCCCTGGAGAGAAAGCACCATCAGCAGCAGCAACTGCCACAACTCAATCATCAGAGTAAGTCTTCTACAAACCATTATATGTCACCAATTGGTAATTTATAGGAAAGCCCTCCTTATTTGTGTTTTTCGGTTATAGGTCTCTACCTAAGAGAACAAAGAAGTGAAACTCGGTATCGACGCAATGTTGGTGAGGTATTTCTGTAATATGGGAAATAGATTTTTCCGGCTGCGTAGTTCTTCTAACATTCTAAACTATGCAACATTTTTTCTTATATATTTTTTCCCTAGACCGTGATAATTTGTATCTGACATTGCATTTTGCTATTAAATATGTTTTTTGTTGGCGACCTTATTATATTCCTCTACTTTCATCTGATGTATAGCTGCTTTTAGTGTTCATTTCTGGTAATTTTGTAATTTATGAATGTCAAAGTTTTTTAGTTAATGGAGTTATACTGCTTGTCTTAGAGCTCTATGCATGTAAATATGAAGGTTTAGGTGTTAGATATATGTAAATTTATTCGCATATATATCGCACAATTCTTATTTATTTACATGCATAATGCTTAAAGATTGATATTTACTTCCATACCAAGTGCTGTGAATGTAAATATGAATTGTAAGAATTGCATAAAATAATTTTCATGATATTGTGAGTACATTTTGTATTTATGGAGTATATAAATAGTTAGTTTTTATTTTGAATAATGAATATGAAATGATTGTCATAATTCATCATTGAAAACTGTATTATATTTAGAATTATATATATATATATGGCTAAGGCTGTCAAAAAAAGCTCGTTGTTCACGAACAACTCGTGTTCAGCTCGTTAAGTAGCTTGTGTTCGGCTCCTTCGTTAAGTAAATGAGTCGAACACATAAATTTTTAAAGCTTGAGTTATAAACGAGCCGAACATGAACGGCTTTTTGTTCGTGTTCTGCTCGTTTTAATTCGAAATAAAAGAAAGTATATAATTATTTATATAAAAAAATATTATACGTATTATTTATATAATAATATATTTTATATATTTATATCTAAGTTTAAATCATAGCTGCTCTTCTGGTAATGTTGTTATGCGCCTTGTTTTGCATATATTTGGTTCAGGTTTGAATACATCACTACAAATATTCTTTCAATTTAATTTTAACGAGAGCAGAGCACGAACACGAATATTTAAATCGAGCATAACACGAACACACTGTTCACGAGCCGTTTTCGAACACCAGCAAATTTCAAACACAAACAATTTCAAATGAGCCGAACTCGAGCCAAGCTTAAGCTTGTTCAAGCTCGGCTCATTTACAGCCCTATTTATGGCTCTGATGGTTGGAGACTCTCAAATGGAGATGCGAAAAATTAACCCGATGCTAACTCGACTAAAAAAACTTGGGTTCAGATTTACTCGAATAATAAATATTCTGATGAGGTTTGGGTTGAGATTCTTAACCTATTTAATTTTTTGGATCTAGTTTGAGTTGACCCGCTTCAAAATTAACTGAATTTAACCTGCCTGTCAGAAATTGACGCAATTTTCAGTCAATTTTGATCCGAAATCATTCACTTGTATTAAACAAGTCGCTTTTGGGTTATTCGTGTCTGTATCGAGTCAAGTTTGAATTGAGATTTTTAGCCTGTTTAATATACAACTCGAGCTCAAGTTGAACCCGAATTGCATGCCCATATTGGCATCCGTGGCTTCAAATAATCCACAAAGCAACAGAAATGGAAAAAAAAATATATCAAAACACGAGCTAGAAGTTGTTGGAATTGGCTAATAATCGAAATTAATTGTGTAATAATAAATGATATTATTTCATTATTACATTTGATTATATAGGTCGGAATGAACTATCTATAAAACATCAAAATATAAGAATGATGAAATACATATTTTTATCTATAGGTAAGTTGACAAATATGTAAAAATTGAAAAAAATTAGGTGTAAGTAAGAAAAATGTTATATATATATATATATATACTCATTTATCCTCACTCATTTATCCTCCCTCTTCAATCCAAGTCCAAAGCAAGTCAGATCTCTATCGCACCCACTCGCCTGAAGCCACGGCCTTTCCAAGATTCAAACTTGAAGCGAACCAGTCTCTCTCCTCTCTTCTCCGGAGATGCTCCTCCATGAAACAGCTCAAGCAGCTTCAAGCTCAGCTTACCAGCCATGGACTCCTCTCCGACACCCACACCCACACCCACACCCTCTCCCACCTCATCTCCTGCTCCCTCACCCCTTCCGGCGACCTCCACCATGCCCGCCAACTATTCGACCGCGCTGTCTTCCCCAACCGATTCATGTACAACACCTTAATCCGAGTTTACTCCTACAGCGATACGGGAATGGAGTCCGTCGTCTTCCTCCTCCGCCAAATGATGGCTCAAGGTTTCTCGCCCAACAACTTCACCTTTCCCTTCGTTCTCAAATCTGTGGCTAAAAGCCAGGCCTTTGAGGTGGCCCTTCTGCTTCAATCCATGATAATTAAGACTGGTTTTGCATCGCAGGTTGTCGTTATGAACGCTCTCCTCCATGCTTTTGTAGTTTCCGAACATGTCTGTTACGCGCACAAGGTGTTTGATGGAATTCCTCAGAAGAGCATTATTTCATGGAATTCCATGATTGGTGGCTATTCTCGGGAGGGTGATTTCAGGAGCGCATTTGAGTTGTTTGGAGCTATGAGGAATTTGGGTTTAGAGCCTGATGAATTCACTGTAGCCAGCCTCTTTTCAGTTTGTTCACAATCTATAAATCTCAAACTGGGTAGAGCTCTGCATCATTTCATCATCATGAATTGCCTCGAAGCTGATTTGATTGTAAACAATGCACTAATCGACATGTATGGCAAGTGCGGAGAACCCGATTCAGCTCAAATGTGCTTCGACATGATGCCTGTGAGAAATGCGGTGTCCTGGACTTCGCTTGTCCGAGCCTATGCGAAGAACGGATCTCTAGCTCTCGCCAGGTCCTGCTTCGACCAAATGCGAGAAAAAAGCGCCGTCTCATGGAATGCGATGATAGACTGTTATATTCGCAGCAACGATGAGCCTCATGAAGCATTGGTTCTGTATGAGCAGATGAAGCTCTCAGGCATCGTCCCAAATGAGGTAACTTTGATCCATGTTCTATCTGCTTGTAGCAAGATTGGAAATTTAGTTGTTGGCAAGAGAATTCATGATCACATAGCTCAAAATATCACAAATCCAAGTCTCAAACTACTGAATTCTCTCACAGACATGTATGCCAAATGTGGCCATTTAGACATCGCCTTAACCCTATTTAACATGATTGAAAATAAGAATTTGGTGTCATGGAATGTAGTGATTAGTGCTTTAGCAGCTCATGGGGTTTCATTAGAAGCTGTAGAACTTTTTAGAAGCATGACCAGCCATGGCTTCCTCCCTGATGGAATCACATTTGTAGGTTTGCTATCTGCCTGCAGCCATGGAGGGTTGTTAGAACTCGGCCTCCATTATTTTGAAGCCATGGATGCTGTCTATAAGGTTCAGTGTGAAGTTGAACACTATGCGTGCATGGTGGATCTGTTCGGTCGAAGAGGATTTGTCGGCAGGGCGCTCGAGTTGATTGGGAGGATGCCGATGAAACCCGATGTTGTTATATGGGGTGCTTTGCTTGGAGCTTGTAGGATCCATGGTGATTTGAGGACTGGATTGAAGGTGATGAAGCAGGTGCTGGAGTTGGAAGACTATAGTTCTGGGTTGTTTGTGCTTCTGTCTAATTTGTTTTGTGAGTTGCAGAGATGGGAAGATGTAAGGAGAGTGAGGAAGATGATGTGTGGGGGAGGGGTGAAGAAGGTTGAAGGAAGGAGTTTGATTGAGATTGGTGGAGACATTCATGAGTTTCTTGTGGAGGATCTCAGGCATGAGAGATCATGCAATATTTACTTTGTTGTGGATCAATTAACTGATCATTTAATGTGTTTAGCCCCATTTTCTGAATCTTTGGAGCCATTGTGGCTGTAAAAATAGCAAATCTTTGTGTTCCTAATGAGTTTTATGATGAAATTTATTTAATTTTATGTTGCAGGGGTACTAGTTAAAACTGGCACGGTTCACAAAATATTTAAATTCATTTATGGTTACTTACATCTAATAATTTTATAAATGATGACATTAAATTTAAAATTTAATTTTGATTATATTGGCAAGATCTACCAGACAGATGGCTTGAATGTCTTAAGACTTTGATATCAAGGTAAAATAAACTGATCTTAACTGGATTATTACGATTAGTAACTATTTTTTGACATCTTTAGTTAGCTCAGCTCGGCTCGATAAGGTTGAGCAAGTAGCTCGATAAAGCTAAACTCGAGTTGAGCTTAAATTGAGCTTAAATAAATCAAGGTTTGTATAATTTCTTAGAAGTTTAACTCCACCTATTACTATTTACCCTGCTACAGTGCAAGGAATAAACCAGGCAGACTGCAACTGAGAGTTCTGCTTGTAAAATACATTGGAGGTAATACCTTTGGAGGCAAAGGGTCTCATGTTCATGGGATGGTCTAAAGATGGAGCAATCATTAGTTGTGAAGTCCGCACAGGTGGATTTCATTATATTTTGATTGTATTGGTTGTATCAATACAACAAAAAATACATTGAAATTCACACATTCCGCACCTATTTTATCCGCTCCTAATATTTTTTTCCTCAAGGTTTGGGATTGCAACTATAGTAGATTTAAAATTTTAAAATATGTGTGTCATCTTAGTTTTATAGTTGAGAGCTTCATTTTACGACCAAGAGCTTGTTGGTTGAAGCTCTTGTATGTATCCTATGCATAGCGCTTTGAATTTAGTTCGCTCAAAAAATTGATTTAAATTTTAGCTTGGATCGAGGTAAGAATGAAAAGAATGAGCCGAGCTATGAGCCAAAACTTGGGATCAAACTTTTTCAAGCTGATTTCATGCCATACAAAGATTAGCTTAAACTGACTCGACATTGGCTAGATTATATATATTTATATATAAGGTTAAATAAAATCAACTATAACAAGCTGTGAGCCTATTTCAAACTTGAACAGATCCAAATAACTCAATTTGAGCCATTTTGTTTCAGATTCGAGTCGATTTCGAGCTGGAATGGATTCAATAAACTCAAAATTGAGCCAACTCATTTCGACTTCGTCCCAGATCGAACTTCATTCAATTTCAGGCCGAATTGGCTCGAAATCAAACATAATGATTCACAAGCCAATTTTGATTCGAAGTCAATCCATTCAAACTGATTTCGAGCCTGACCCAACTCGAGCCACCATCTCAGCTCAAAATTTCAAAGTGAAGAAAACAGCTCAAAATTTCAAAGTGAAGGCCACCATCTCAGCTCAAAATTTCAAAGTGAAGAAAAAAAAAAAACAATTCACCAATAATGTGTTCAATATCCTCCACAGCCCTAAAGAGTTACCTTTTTTTTCACGCCTGTATTTATTAAGCTCTCCGGGTCACGTGATCGAGCGCATTTTGACCTCATGCAGTCACGCGCCGGTGCTTTCTTTAATAACTCATTACTAGTATCGGTATCGGCCGAAACACGCCCATTTCCTTAACGGTTAGATTTGACTTTCCTATACCCTCCATTGGTATCGGCCGAAACCGACACATTTCCTAAACGGTGAAACATACTTTAATGCCCATTGATTCCCAAATTGTGCAACATGTGACATTGTGACCACCGGCTATAGAAATAAAGTTAATTATAACTTTTTAATTCTTATTATATAAATCCATTTTTTCATATAAATTCATCCATATGCTTCAATTTTATTTGATATGTATGTAAATGCACCTTCTATATTTTATGCACTTACAAGTTATACGTATATGTATTATTAGATGTATAAAATAAAATATCATATTAATATCTATATGCACGAACTTTATAGCAATCAACTACGACCTTTGTGGCCACCGACTGCAACTTTCAAGACAAACTACTATTTTTATAGCAATCAATCACGACATTCCAACTACGTTTTTTATGGCTAATTGTCGTTATTACAGTCACATACTACAACGTTTATAATCAACTATAGTCTTTTACGATCAACTACTATAATTAAAGTTTTCAACTATAATTTATGTGATTAGCTGTCTGTATTGAAGCCATTAACTACAACATTTATGATGAGCTACAGCCTTTGGGGCTAACTATTACTATTATAGCCAAGATCTACATTTATTGTAACTAAATTATGACTATAATAGTTAAAATACTATCGTACTTTTGTGATTATAATTCCATCTTCTCTAATTCTGAAAAAGAGTTGACTTATGTATTTACAATTACATAATTGATTGCTTTGATCAGGCTAGAACCCGTAATTTTTCCTTTTAAGAGGGCTTTTTAAATAAAACTGGTGTCTTTTAACTATATCTGTGCTTTTGATGGATCTACGTATAACACTAAGACACGAGATTATAATATTTTTGCACGGAGTTTTTCAACACGCAACAAGAACAAATATAAAAATTTGAGTGGTTGATACTTAATACAAGGATTGTGTGGAATGTTGATAAACTTCTTATAATTATAAAATTACCAAATTATTTTATAGAATAAAAAATAAATTATTTTAAAATCTGCCCATTCATTTACCTCGGCACGGGACCACCATATCCAAATTTGTAACGGTCATTGCACTCCCGCTGACCCTAGCGTGGCATTTCCGTAATTAGCTTAACATTGTCGTCCAATCTAATAAATAGCCCCTCGAACTGAACTGAAGCTCCCCTGCCCTAGAAAAACCAGAGAGAGACAGAGAAAAAAAAGATAGACAGAGAACCTTCTTCCACCAGTAATGGCGACCAAAACCCCCATCTTCCCAGTAGCCACTCCCCAACACTACAGCGACTACGGCTTCGATCCCCAGCTCCATTACTTCCAGGTCTCTTCTCTCCCTCCACCTCCTTCCTCCCTCTCCAATCTCTCTCCCATCAATCGATTCATCCATTCGCAGGCACTGGAGGAATCGCGCAGACACGGCACCAAAAGAAGCGAAGGATCGCGATCCTGCGCAGAATCTCTGCATTTCAAGCTTCAGAAGCCGATTTCGAAGGAGGAGAGATCGAAGACGAAAAAGCGACGGCAGTGGTGGAAGAACGCGTTCGGTATTTTCTGGAAGAGGGGGAGAAGCGCCGTTAGGGTTCCGTCGGGACCTCTGTATGTGACGGAGAGCGCGGCGTGCCGGACTAATTCAGGGCCTCTGAGGGCGGCGGAGTTCATGGGGATTGAGGTGCCGTACTTTAGCATTAGGGATCTTGATGTTATGGCCGGTGATGGGATCTTCGCCGGAGAATATGGGGTGAGGCCGATCTATCTCGTTACTTGAATGGTTAATGAGGTTTCTGTGTTGGTTTTGATTGCTCTGCTTCTTCGTTCTTCAGATTCCGATCCGATTCTGATTCTGATTCTGCTGTTTGTTATTGTTATTGATAGAATCGGATCTTAGGGTTTTGCTGGTTTTGCATCAATGGCGGAATGAAAAGGAGCTTTAAGGCTGTCATCCTTTTTACTTTCTACCATGCGCGCGCTTTCTGTTATCTTTATGCTTTGCACAAAGCAAAAAGAAGATCTACAATTACATGCATGCCACTAAATTCCTGTGTATTTGCATATCTATGAAAAATATTACATTAGCACTCCGAACATAGAGCTATATTCAGATTATAATAGTTAGGAATATCTCGGTTTGTTATAGGAATATTTCATCTGCATTATTTGTAAAAAAATGAAGTATTATTTGAGTATTATATGGTGTTATTCGATTATTTTGTGTTGTAATTATAATATTCTCCCACGTTACTTGATTTGAGGCTATGTTATTTGACATATTTCCCGTGTTATTTCAATTTCCAATATATTATTGGAATAACACAATCCCAAATCAAGTAACGTGAGAGAAATATTTCAATAGCACTTCAGTCTCAAATCAAGTAACGCAGGGGAATGTTCCAATAACACCGCAAAATACTCGAATAACACTTTATTTTTTGCAAATAACACAAATGAAATATTTCTGTAACACAAGTTACATATAAAAAAAAAACAAAGTTTAACAATTAGATATATAAATACATAAGGGTCACCATAAGAATCAGCCAAAAGTCCATCACCTAGCTAATTATCATACCAAAAGTTACATAAACCCTCTCCGATATCCCAACAAAAAAACTTTTCAGTACTAATAGAGACTTTTAACATTTCATTCCAAACAAAAGAATCAGAAGAACTAGTGATGGCCAAAGGATGAGCATTTTTACAATATTTTTTTCTCATCATACGAGAGAGTACTTTGTTCTCATCATACTAGCCCATAGAGAATTGACATCTCTAAAATGCACCCAAAGTTTCATGAAACTGATCTTCATAGAATCATTTAAAGATCTAAAACCTAAACCACCATATTTGATAGGTTTACACATTTTAGACCATCTCATCCAATGGATTTTATGATCCTTGCTAGCCCACAAAAACTTATTAAAATTATTCTCTAGCCTATTACAAATACAAGAAGATATCATAATGAAAAAAAGTGCATAAAGGGGAATAGAGTTAAGAATACTCCACCAAAAGATAAAAAGGAGATTGTCCAAAACATAATTATTGTATTGATTCAATAGTACTGTCGAAAAAATGATTCTTTCTTTTGCCTTTATTCATATTATGGCCCAAAAGAACAACATGAAGCTCCCCTTTGCCACAATTAGTAACATCTTGTATCCAACTTTTCTTCATAATAGAAATCCATTTAGAATAATAAAATTTGCATTTGGAAATACTCCAACCCTTTCCACAATCTTTTAATAGAACATTTATTAGCACTAGCAAAGATAATGAGATCATCAGCATAGGCAAGGTGATTAATCTCAAACATCCCTCTATCAACATAATTTATGCTAGGATAAGTGTTAAAAAACTTGTTATGATATCTAAAAATGTAATCAAAAGCCAAAATTAAAATAAAAGGGGAAAGATGATCTCCTTGTTTAATCCCCCTGGAAGAATTAAAGAAGCCACATTTATGACCATTAATAAGAATATAATAGTAATTGTTCTCCAGAATCCTCTGAATAAGACAACAAGAAGCATGATTACAGCCTTTGGCTTTAAATACCTCCAAAATGAATTCCGATATAAGAGTATCATAAGTTTTTTTTATATCAATCTTAAATATAGTAATGCCACCTGTGTCTTTTTTATCCAAATCAAGAATTACTTCTTGAGCAATGAGAGCATTCTCCCCAATAAATTTTCCTTTAATAAAAACAAATTGCTCTTCAGAAATCAGTTCATTAAGAAAAGGTTGTAATCTTCCAACCATAATTTTTGAAACAATTTTAAAGATAACAGTGTTGAGACTAATAGGTCTGAAGGCATCTCATTTTAAACCTTCTTTAGTTTTAGGGACAAGGACTATATTAAAGGTTTTAAAATATATGGGTTAATCAATCCCTCTAAATTCATCCTGCACAACAAGAATAACATCCATCTTGATCACCTCCCAACACCTTCAGGACCAGCAATTTTATTGATGTCAATACTATCCAGTGCATTATTAATTTCAAACTCATCAGGCATGCCATATAAATCAATACTATTAGCACACACAGTCATGATAAAAAAGATTCACATCAATATTATCTAGAACACTATTATCACTGCTAAACAACTTAGTATAATAATTAATACCATCAGCCTCAACAAGATCAAAATTATATAAAATATTACCATTGTATTACTTAATCTTGTTAATATGAATGCCTTAAAATAAGCAGAATTTTTATATCCCTCCATAAATTGATGCCCCACTGCCTTCTGCTTGTTGAAAGCCTCCTCCATTTTGGTACCTGTAATTAATAATTCTTGACCATCCAAGAGAGCTTGATGCTCAATTAAATCATTACTGGAATCCTCCTCCAACTTTCTCATTTTCTCCTCAACAGTCAAAACTAGAGTATGAAAATTACTAAAAGCGTCCCAATTTCATTTCCTTAATTTAGCAGCCATAGACTTATGCAAAAGCGACAGACTTTTACCCTTATTGCATGGAAATCAGAAATCCAATTTTCCTTGAGAAACAACAAAAATAATTTAACAATAAGAATCTAAATTGATAAAATCTAGGCATAGTAACCAAGTTAACAATAAGAAGAATAGGGGCATGGTCTGAGCAAACAATAGAAAGATGAGTCACAGAAGTAGCACGAAAGAATTGCATCCATAAGCTCTTAGCAACAAATCAATCCAGCTACTCAAAAACTTTACTACGATACCAAGTGAAGGGATATCTTATAAAACCAAGATCACAATGGCCAGCCACCAAAATTACATCATTAAAATCAATGATAAGCTTTTGATTATGATAATTTCCACCTTTTTTCTCAGCCACATAAAGAAAAAATTAAAATCACTTCCTACAATCCAAGGTTCATTACAAACAATTTTAAGAGTAGTGAGATTATTCCATAAGTCGAGTAGTTCTAAAACAACACACATAGATAATACTAGCAAGAAAAGTAAATGCCAAAACTGACCCTCAAATGAATAAATTGGGCATGATTTATAATAATCTCCACATTGATAGAGGAAATCCAAAAAAAAAATCAAATATTATTATTCACATTAGCAAAAAATTAAATTTTTTGAGGCCATTCATATACCTGTCATTGTTATGAGAAGCAAGCAAAGATTTCAGTATGCCATAGAAAGGTAAATTAAGAGTTTTAATGATACTTTTGAGTCTAATAGTGGCATTAGTATCAAAAATACCTCTAATATTCCACACTAGCAGACTAAACATCAAAAAATAATTTTCTTCCCCAGTTGGACCTGGAAGGATGAGTCAAAAGATTCTCCTTACCTTTCGAAATCCCATGACTTTGACTTAAAAGCGGCTTCAGGATTCACATATTTCAATTTCCAAATCTCTTTTAATTTCTTTCAAATGGATTTGATAGAAAGTCATTCTTTCTCCAAATCCTCTCTTGTTGGAACCAGCTTATTAGTCAACTCTCTTTCCTCAAAATTATTAAGTAAGACATCCCTATTAGCACCACACTCCACAACATAACTAGTAAAAGGAAAACCATTATTCATATCATTCATTACCTTTTTTACCATCATTACACAAATTAGAAGAAATATTTTTTATCAAATTAGTGTTAGCTTTATCAAGATTACTCCTCTCCATATTACAAGATAACGAATCTTAACCATCTCTATCACTATTATGATAATTATTATCCTGTTAAGCCCTCGTCTGAACATCATTAGGATTACTCTTAAAATGCATGATATCCTCATTGTTCTTTTGTTGTAAATTAACATTTCCATTTATAATAACAGGCTTCTCAACATTTAAACCAGCAATTTATCATTCAAAGTAGGAGCACGAGGATAACCTTCTTTCCTTAATTAAGGATGAGCAAAATAGCAAATATTATGAGTAGGACCAAACATACGACATTTAGTGCAATAATGAAAAAAAAATCCATTTTAAAACTTTTTTAGTACCCACAATTTGAATTACCAATCCATATAAGACCATTAAAAGAAGTCGTAACATCTCTTTTCACAAGAACTCTAGCCACAGACGACCTAGAGCAATTAAGATCACACTATCCACTTTTAAAGGGGGTACCAAAAATAACACCTAATGAATATATAACCTTTAGATTGTACACATTCAATTTTAAACTAGGGAACCTTAACCAAATCGGAACAATCAGTGGTTCAAGTTTAGGATTAAAATCTTGAGTTCATTTTAAAATTATCATTTGAGATTTCTTAATTAATAAGACATTTCTAGCAAGAAAACCCGCATAATCCTCCTCCTTTTCAAGTTTAATCAGCAGATGCCTACCATCAATTAAACCAATGTTCCAACTACCAACCAACTTCAAATCAACAAAGAATCTTTTAATGCGGTCCATTTTAGGATGAGCAAATGAGAAATTACCTACCAAAGTAAAGAGTCAAGGTTTCACAAGAAGATTAGTATCTTCATCTAAAAAAACAAAGCCGACTTACCATTTTTTCTTGTAGTGTTCTTTAGAAGACCGACGTAAGAGAAGGCTACCAGTTGATGTTTAAAGCTAGAGGGGAACAAAACATTCCCCACATCCTTAGGTTTACCCGCGACAATATCTCGGAAGAACGGACCTCTCTCACGATTAGGAGAAGTTGTCATAATCTGACACAAATCTGAGCTCGAAAAAGAGAAAAAGAAACACCAAACCCTAAGACGATGTTGGGGGTTTAGACAAAAGAAGCGAAGGAAACAAAAAAAACTCTCGGGCTCCAAGAAACCCCGAGGTTTAATCAATTCGTGCTAGTAATAGTTTCTATGCTTTTTGTTTAAGCTGTATTGTTGGCTAATGGTTCTTTGGATTTTAATTGCTTTGTGTGAGTTGTATGTGTTTGGGGTTTAGTAGAACTATTGGCTACATCCTTGTAATTATTTTTTTTTATGAAATAAAATTTCTTACATAATTCATTATATCTATGCTCTATTTTATATATATATTATATACGTTATTATTATTATTATATTATTATTATATTATTATTTATTATCTTATTTGTCTTCTTTTTTTATTTCGTTATTTTTTTAATTCGTTATTATTGTTTTGTTAAGGGT